AGTATTTACTCAAAAAATTTACTGAATAAAAGAGGTAAAATCTGCAGTATTCCTAAAAAAAGGGTGAAATCTTCTGTAGCACGGATAAAATGAACTGAATCTTTTTATATGTCTCGGATAAAATAATTCCACGGCACGGTAACAATCGCCGAACACAACCACTAGTACTACTATCTTGCACAAAAGAATGTAGAATCCCGCACACTCACACACGACATGCACAAATCTCAGCCCCCAAAGAATTCGAATTCCCCCTCGTTACACACACGTCTGGCACATCTCCATTTTTTCTTTCTTGGCACTTCTTGGCGAGGGCGCTCTTGGCCTTGTGCCGGAAGAGCACCCGCTTCCTCCCGCGGGTCGCGTTCTCCACCGTGATCACCACCCTGCCGGCCTCCGCGGCCCGGAACGAGTTGCGCACCGCCTCCTCGCCGGCGCCCACCTTCCGCCCCTTGCTCACCACGATGGTGTACGCGCCCTCGTCCGCCGGCACGAACTCCTCCGTGTACCTCACCTCCCACCCCAGCACCGTCACGTCCCAGGTCAGCGTCGTGTCGCCCTCGGCGGCCTCGATCTCGATGGTCTCGGTGGCGCCCGCCTTGACGACCACCTCGGCGATCTCGGCGTCGTGCTCGCCGGTGAACTCGGCGTCGCCGTCGCGCTTCAGCCCGCCGTACTTCACCGGGATGGCCTCGATCGGGATGTACTTGAGCAGCGTCTCGGTGACCTTGGAGGGCCGGGCGACGACCAGCTTGCTCTTGGTCCGCTGCGTCAGGAACGGGAAGAAGACGGTGGTGAAGGCGTAGTAGGAGAACGGCACGTTGATCAGGATCTGCAGCACGGCGGCGCCACCAAAATTCAGTCAGATCTCGAAGCAATTTCATGGCATGATTGGGGGGGATGAGATCGAAATGTTTTGGGCACTCACGTTCCGGGCGACGAGCTCGGGGTAGTTGTCCTGGAAGAGGTCGAGCACCTGCTTCATGGCGACGCGGAGGTCCTTCCTGGCGGGGCCGGGGGAGCCGCGGAGGTCGGTCACCTGCAGCAGCGACGCGGCGCCGCCGGGGCGGAAGTCGAGCTCGGCCACGTGGCGCTCCATGGCGCGCACCCGCCACCGGAGGAACCGGGCGGGCTTCTTGCCGCCGTCGGTGCCGAGCGCGCTCCTGTACACGGCCTCGTCCGCGAACACGCCCAGCGCGTTGTAGCACACCGGGTGGCCCTCGCGGTCCGTGCCGTCCAGGCGGCACGCGCCCTCCGGGAGCGCGTCGCCCTCCTCGTCGTCGCCGTCGGCCGCGGTGGCCGCCAGGCTCTTCCACTCCCGGCGCCACCGGAGCGTGCGGCGGAGCATCTCGAAAGCGGCCCCCGCCTTGAAGTCGCGCGCGCGGAGGAACTTGAGGAGCACCACGTCCGTCGCCTCGTCGCCCTTGCTCAGCAGCAGCGGCACGCCCCACAGCGCCACGTCCTTGTCGACGACGACGACCGCAGCGGCCGGCGCCGCCTTCTCGCCCTCGACGGCCTCCTCTTCCGCGGCGGCAGTCTCCTCCTTCTCCTTGACTGGCTCGGGCTCCTCCTTCTTCTCCTCTTCCGCCACGGCCTCCTCCTTCTTCTCCCCGGCCGGCTCGGCCACCTCCTCCTTGGCTTCCTCCTCTTTCTTCTCCACGGCCGGCGCGGTCACATCCTCCTTCTTGGCTTCCTCCCCCTCCTTCTTCTCCTCGGCCTTCTTCTTCTTGCCCTCCTTCTTCTTCCCCTCCTTCTTCTTGGCCTCCACCTTCACCTTCACCTTGCTACTCCCCTCCTCCAAGTCGAACAGCTTGCCCTCGACGATGGCCTCCTCGACCTTAGCCCGGAGCTCAGCGAGCGCCTTCCTCTCAGCATCCTTGAGGTCGCCCAGCCGGTTGCTCTCCTCCCTGAACGACATGTTCTTGGCCACGGCCACGGCGGCCGCGCCCGCCTCCACCTCCACCTTCGCGCGCACCTCCTTCGCCGGCGCCACCGCCTCCACAGCCCCGCCGGAGACGACCTCCACGCCCATGCCGATCAACAACAACAGAGGATTTCACAACACAATTAGAAAAGAAAATCAAAAGCCGGATATTCCCAGTGCGGTGTCAGAGACAGGCGATGGAGAGGGGAAGGTGGCTTTGGTGGACGGTGGTGTGGGGAGCGGGGAGGAAGAAGGGGGCGCTATATAGCGGCCACCGCGGCGTCGCAACGGCTACCGGGCGGGGGCCAATGGGGTGGCGCCA